GTACTGCCTGGTGACCAACACATTCCATATAATGTGTGCCATATCAACAAGTGCTGAAGTGTATGTCTCCAGTGGCTAGTGACTGCTCCATGTGCCTGCACATTCTAGGCATTTTTCTTATATATGCAAGAAAGTATTATGTTGATGGATTTTGGTAACATAAAATTTAATGATACTAGCAATTAAAGAGTAAAAAAAATTGCCATGCATCTCATTTATCTGAAGTTGTATATCATGGAAGACTTCTCCACATAGTGCTCCAAGTAAAATTTAGGGCTATACTGACATATATAAATCTTCCCTAAATCCAAGCTCACTCAATCCCTTATAGAACACGAAAGAGCATCTGCACATGCTCTACACACATCCCCCCACATACGACATCGTCTCGGAACTCCTTACAATGCCTGGAGTAGTGTAAATGTTCTTATACTGCATTATTCAAGGAATAAAGAAAAATGCCTATGCACATTCCATTCAGAAACATTTTCCAAATAATTTAAAATTCAGTTTGTTGAATCTGTGGATGCAGAACCCTTGTACATAAAGGCTTTTTTTTTTTCCTGTCTTTTTGAGACAGGGTCTCCCTGTAGCCCCAGCTGTCCTGGAACTATGTAGACCAGGCTGGCCTTGAACTCACAGAGATCCACCTGCCTCTGCCTCCCGACGGTATTAAAGGCATGCGTCACCATGCCCCGCAAGGCTAACTATTCTTATTTGGCAGAACAATGACTCAAAACGGGGAAATGAAGCCCTTAAACCCTCCAGCTTAGCTCATCATCTATACCCTTCTATGGTAGTTTCAAAGATCATCAACATAACCTTTCCGAATTGCTAAGAAATCGGATAATTAAAAAATGAGTTTTAAAATTGGCCGGCCGCGGTGGCGCACGCCTTTAATCCCAGAACTTGGGAGGCAAAGCCAGGCGGATCTCTTTGAGTTCGAGGCCAGACTAGTCTACATAGTGAGTTCCAAGACAGCTGGGGCTACAGGGAGACCCTGTCTCAAAAAGAAAAAAAAAAAAAAAAAAAAAAAAAAAAATCCTAGAGCATTAAACCAGGAAAATAATTGTCTTTGGGTACATTCCGGGACAGCTCTCAGGAGGCAGATGTAGGAAAACTGTAAGTTTAAGACCAGGCTAGGCTACAAAGAGAGACACCTATCTCAAAATGTGGGAGAAAGATGGGGTGGGGTGGAGGTGGGGAGCAAACATGCTTGTATCTCACCTTTAGTATCTTTAACTTTGATTGCCTCCAGAAAATGAGCTTTATCATGTAAAGTCAATGTGCCTAAGTCTTACAGTCAAGAAAGTTCCAGTATCTCTTTAAAAAGGACAAAGTTATATGGGTGCATGCCTATGATCCATAACTGGAGCACAGCGAGTTCCAGGCCAGTCTGTTATACCGTGAGACTGTCTCAAAAAAGCAAAATAGATAGATGATAGAGATAGATAGATAGATAGATAGATAGATAGATAGATAGATAGATATAGATAGATGATTGATAGATGGATAGATAGATGATTGATGATAGATAGATATAGATAGATGATAGATAGATGATAGATAGATAGATAGATAGATAGATAGATAGATAGATAGATAGATAGATGATAGATATAAAAGGGTCAGTCCCCACCATCCCATCCACTAGAATGGATTTCTGAGGTTCAGGCTCACTTGAATGTGCTCAACACGACCCAGCATGTTGATTACTAATCGTAATATAGCCAATGCAAACATTAATTTAGTTTCCTGAGCATTATAATCTTTAAAGGGAATCCTTCAGACTTAAAATTGTTTACTAAAAAAATTTTACTTCTCTTCCTTATATTTCCAAGAGCAGACCATGCTATTTAGTTGTGTATTTAACGTCTTTTAACCTTTATCAAGGACAGAACAAGATGATTATACAGAATGCTCAGATTTGACACTAGAAGGCTATTATCTTTGTAATGTAGGGTTAAAACCCATAATTACCCCAAGATTCCATAGTGTCAGACACCTTATTTTTGAACATTCAAATCTCAATAAACATGAATGAAAAAAGTGTTTGTTTCACATTTCTAATACATGTTCATAAAATTTATTAAAAATAAGTATTTTTCTAAAATGAAAGTTTACATATCTAAATATGGGTGGGGTTTTTTTTCTGGAGGTCTTGAAAAGCTTATTCATTTAGTTGATGCTTCTAGAATTCAAAACTTTTTTTTTTTTTTTTTTGAGACAGGGTCTCCCTATAGCCCCAGCTGACCTGAAACTCTCTGTGAAGACCAGGTTGGCCTTGAACTCAGAGAGCTACATGCCGCTGCCTCCCTGGTGCTGGGATTAAAGACGTGCACCACCATGCCCAGCTTTAAAATTCAAAACATTTTAATAACTTCTTCACTAAAATGGCTATTGTTTAGAAGAGTTTCCAAAATGATGCTAAATCTTTGACTTTGGAGGAAAGGATGGCTTCTGAAAAGTCACTGTCACTCAGAATAAGGCAGATCAAACCAAGAATTACCATTGGGTTACCTGAGCCTTAACTATAAGCAATGTAATGTTTTCTACCTGTGTCTTTGAAAGAGGAATTTCAAAATGCTTTCTGGGCTGAATAAATTGTAGGAAAAAAAATTTGCTCAATTTTGCCTTGACTTCCCTACAATTAAAATAAAAATTCAAGTATGTAGCAGTGAAAATTAATTTTTTATGATTCATGCTTGTCATATTACTGGAATAAAGGTAAGATAGTAAAAAAGATTATCTCACTGGTTTTAATCAATTATCTCCTTACTAAAACTTTTTCTTTAACATTGAAAACACAAAGAAAACCCTAAAGCAAATCTGTTAATATTCATATGTAGACTCTTCTTTCCATTTGGAGAACAGCATTCTTGGGCATAATTTCAAAGAGTATTCAAAATCAGCTTCCCAGTATGGACTGAAAGACTTGTGGATTGAACTTCTATTTGCTACACTGTGCTTCAAGTACTACCACGGAGCTGGGAAGTCAAGAGGGAAGAAATGTTCAATTTGCAGCAAATGATTAAAAAGAAGGTAAACTTTAGAGCCCTGTTACTTAATAATTAACCAGTTTTTTTTTTTGGGGGGGGTCTTTTTGAGACAGGGTTTCCCTGTAGCCCCAACTGGTCTGGAACTCACCATGTAGACCAGGTGGGGTTTGAACTCTGAGATCCACCTGCTTCTGCCTCCAGAGTGCTGGGATTAAAGGTGTGGGCCTCTAGTCCAATTTACTTAACCAGTTTTTATGTGTTCAAAGTTGAGTACAGCTATAGTGAACTATATACATCACTCCCCATCAACTGCTAAAGGATGTTCAGCTGGGCATGGTGCCCACTCCTGTAATCCCAGCATTTAGGAAGCACAGGCAGGAGGATTACCAGTTCAAGGCCAACCTGTGTGACACATACTGAGACCTTGTCTCAAGAAACCAAAAATACACAAATAATAGGTCAAAAAGAACCTTACTCAACTCCTTAACCTTGCCTCCAAAGTTTGTTAAATTTATATCCCTATGAAGAAAACTATAAACGAATTGCTAGTTTAACTTGTGAGCAAATGACAACAGAATTTCATATCACTAAGCATAAAATCAAGCTTACATCCTCTGTATCTTCAAACTGAATAGTAGTAACACTTTTTTTTCTCTAAAATGTAAATGTAAAAAAATGAAATTTGTAAAAAATCCTATTTTAGCAGGCTTGATAATATCAACTAGTAAAACTTTATTTTACAAGCAATAGGAATTGAACCAAATGATTATTATAATCCAGAGGAAGTATTTTATAACCATAGCAAATGCCATTATACACACTGCCAATACAGACTTAACACAGAACTGAACTGTACAAGAGTTATTTATTTTTCCTTAATCTCAAAGCTATTTTTAGTAGTACAAAAAGCCATATTAACATTTTTCCATTAGAAAACAACATGATGTACAAAACTTTGGATGAAAAGTATGTCAAATTTCACTTAGTCACTTGGAGGAAAATCCACCACTCCAGCAATACCACCTAAAGTGTTTTAGGCAGTGATTAAAATCAAAATAATGCATCTTAATAAACTCCAGCTGTTAAAAGAACAAACCTAGCAATATATAATAGTTTTCTAACAATATTTTAAACTACTCACTTTAGGAGTTATTTTTTTAAAAAATCCATTTTAATTGACTCCTACTGCATACCGGGCACCATGCTTGGCCAACTAGGTATTTGCCAACAAGTTGGTTAAAGTGGGAAAAACCCATAATCAGTCCTTTGGTTACCAGGTTTGATTTTTATCTTCCAAAAACCAAGAAACCCGGGATCAAGAAATACCCTTCCAAATGTTATTGATTTCATTAATGAGTAGGGTGTTTAGTAAAGCGAGGTCATGAACCACTATTTTTGACCCACTATTCCAAATAAAAGAGCACTATCAAAAAGCTAAGTTATATTTTTTAATAAGATGTAACATTGCGGTGCTAGTAGTGTGGGTCACAAATTTATCACGAGTCTTATACGGCACACTGCTCAAAAACAGCAAAGCAGGTGTGCGTGTACAATTTTGCATTTAATGAAGCAATGGTATTTGATAACACACATCAAAATTCAACCAGTTTAGGGTCCAGTGAAGTAAAAAAATCCAGTTATGAAATGGAAAAATGGAAAAGAGCAGAGGTTAACTACTAAGTATTACTGTATAAAGAAGTATTAATCTCTATCTTTTCCTTTGAATAACATGATGTTAACACTTTCATTCAAAACAAAAACAAAAACACAGCTTGCAACTATGCTAATGGCCCATAAACTGACAATGCTGTCCATTCAACAACCACTACTTCCTTACAGAAACCTCCTAAAGTATAGCACATAATTAGAATAATAATTTGGATACTGGCCAAGTGCTAAGCATTACAGGCAGGGAACACACCATCAAATTTTAAACCTATCTGGCCATCTTTTCATGACCTATGTGTGGTTCGAACTCAACACTCTTATTCAATATAAATTTTAAATTTCTGGACCTGTATGACAAGAAAATGGTTTTATGAAATAGTCTCATAAGACATTTTAAATAGTCTTAGGGTCATACCACTTTTGTCCTAAATGACAATCTGACATGCTATATAACTACAGTGAAAATAAGTTTCAATTTTAAATGCAAACTAAAAGCAGATAAATGGTTAACAGTTGACATGGTATAAGGCCTTCCTATACATGTTGTCTGACACTGCAGAAAATGAATTCCAGAGCTTGAAAACTTGAGATTAAAAACCACAACCAGATTTACTCTTGATGGCATGCAAGATCTTCCTAAAAAGTAGCCTACGACCTAGAAGCCTCAGCCTCAGAACATAAAGAAACACAACAAATTTGTACATTTTATTCACATTTATTTTTCGCTTTTAGTGTGCTCACAGAAAATTAGAACACCTTAAGCAGGAGTTTAATAGCAATTTTTGTAAGCAAAGTTACATTCCATCTCTAAATCAAATTGGTCAAAGCTTCTCCAGTATTTACAAAACATGATAGACAAGATGCTACACAAAACCATTGCATCTGAAGATTCTTTTTCCTTTATTCTCAAAGACAACTGGAAAAGAAAGCATTGTATGCTGTAATCAAAAACATACCACAGTATAAACAGTAACCATTCCACTTATCACAGCTTGGTTGAGTTTAAAATTTGTGTTTAAAAGGTCCAAGATGACTGCAGTTTTACAAAATGGGCAGGGTGGAAAGTTGCAAACTTCATGTGCTTCTGAAGGATATCAAGATTTGTTTTTATACAATAGTCACAGTTAAAAACACCCTGCTGGTAATACATAATTACACTTTATTAAGGTCATAAACCAGCAATAAACAATAAAGCCTATACAACTTGTAGTTCTACTTAATCACTGACTGGTACAGCTAACATGAGATAAGTGAAAAGTTCCTATGGTTTAAATGAACTCCTAAGACTATGATCTTTTTTTTAAATTGGGTATTGGTGTTTTTTTTTCTTCTCGCTTTCCTTCTTAGTCAAAACTTGTAGTGTTGTAAACCTGCCTCACAAAATACATCGTAAAAACTTTTCTTAAAAAAAAAAAAAAACAACAACAAAAAAAAAAAAAACGAAAAAAATTAAGCCTTTACACCATCATTTCTAGTGGCACATTATCCTGGCAATGTAATGCACCGCTTCAATTTCCCATCGTGGCCCCTAGCTTTTCATTTGATATCCCTTTTTGACCCACTCATCTCCTTCATATATGGGCATGTCCATAGATTGACAAAGAAAGTTTACATTTTTTGAATAAAGATGCAAAGTATGCAAAAACATTAATACTGATGCAAAAAAAAAAAATTAAAGAAAAAAAAAGAAGGCAGAGGAAGGTGTCTAAGCTCTCCTCGACCTGTTGGAATGGTGGTAACAGAATGATTTGAGATGGGATCTGTGGGAAGGGGGTTAAAAAAAAAAACAAAAAACAAAATTTGCTGCTAAAAAAAAAAAAGACGTCTTT